TAGCAAGGGAGAAAAAGGTCATTCAGAGTAAACAGTTTATGGCTGTTCATTCTCCCTCCTGATCTGACTCCCTTAGGAAAGACTGATAACCCCATGAGAAATGTCTTGTTCAAGCCTCACACTCCCAAGACTCCTTCATCTTCAAGGGAAGACAACAGATCCCCTGAAGAGTGCCGTAACGAGGTATTTTTCACACCTGTCTACACATCAAGTATTGTTTCTCCGTACTGTAACACAACCCTGCTCCCTGCAGAATTTTTCCTCAATCTTAATCAAACCTGGAACCCTTCAAATAAGCAAAGACAACGTTCGCCTGCAAAAGCAGAATTTCGTTGTGATCTCTACATTCTTTTCTCACCAAGTTTAAGAACAGATCAGTGTTGCATTTTACAAGTCATCTTCACGTATCCTTTAAAATATCTCAAACTCTATGCATTAAGAAAAGCTCAGACCAGCATTACATACTGAATAAAATTATTTAACATCAGACTATCCGGAGTGGCAAGACCTCCATGGTAAGATGCAAAGCATTATTTCTAGAACCCGGCACAGGTTTTTAAAATAAAAATAAAAAACCTGATACCAAGCCAGGGAAGTAACAGAGCTTGCCAAATTTCAAATCCCACTACACGTGTTACAGGGACAACTAGTCTTAACAGTTCATTTTGTATTTTTGCCAAGGCCAGAAAATACCATTGCAAATACCTAATTCCTAATCTAACGTCACAACGTAGGCCTTGAAATACTTCATGGCTCAATATCAGATGTTTTCATAATTTTCTTCTGTTTTATTCAGAGGATAGTGTTTAACTTCCTAATCAGAAGGAACCTCAAAACACCAAATACCTTCACGTACTGGTTTGCCTGGGACAGAGTTAATTTGGTGTATAGTAGCTAGTACGGGCCTACGTTTTGGATCTGTGATGAAAACAGCACTGATCGCACTGGGATGTTTTCACGACTGCTGAGCTGTGCTCCCACAGCACCAAGGCCTCTTCCGTTTCCCACGCTGCCCTTCCAGCGAGTAAGGCTGGGGGTGCGCAAGAAGTTGGGAGGGGACACAGCCAGGGCAGCTGACCCCCACTGACCGAAGGGGCACCCCAGGCTGTATGATGTTGTGCTCAGCAAGAAAAGCTGGGGAGGGAAGGAGGAGGAGGAGAGGGGAACATTCACAATCATGGTGCTTGTCTTCCCAAGTAAGCATTACAGCTGTAGCCCTGCTTTCCTGGGAACGGCTACACATCTCCCTGCCAGTGGGAAACTGGGACTGAGTGCCTTACTTTGCTTTGCTTGTGTGCACAGCCTTTGCTTTGCCTAAATCGTCTTTATCTCAAACCATGAGCTTTCCCACTTTTAACCCTACCAGCTCTCTTCCCCACCCCACTGCAGGGAGCAAGTGAGCTGCTGCATGGGGCTGAGCTGGCAGCCAGGGTTACACCAGACACTTAATGCAGACACAGAACGATCTCAAGGCCTGGAAACTCACATGGGAGCTCTGAACTCTGCAATCGTCATCCGCGTTTGGATGCTGATGGGAAGCGTCACTTCCCTCGATGAATATGAGCACCTTTATACCTTAGTTTCCCAGATGAAGAACACTGAAAATAACTGCTTCCTTCGCGGGTGAAAATTTTAACTTGCAAGATAAGAATATGGTGCAGAATTAATCCAAAATTATTCTACATTTCTGCAACACTAACCAATTACACAAATGCTTTTCTCTCTTTGCATAGGCTTAATCTTAACAGTGGATATTGTACATCTACATATGAAGAGCAATATAATAACCCAAGACCACAAATTAAATTAATTTTTATCATGTTGGGTATTTCCAATACCAATATTACCTGCCTTATTTTGAAAGGCTGCACAACATTCAAAACCTTTAACAATCAATGTTTCATGTCAGAACAGAAGCATAAACCAGCTGAAAAAGCTTATTTCGCCCTACCTAAAAAACCCAACTTAAAACTTCCAAAGAAATCAGTATACTTACATTATTGCCATCAAGAAATGGTGTAACATTTGGCACAACTCCAGTTGCACTGACAATGAAATCGCATCCATAAATTTTTCCATTAGTTAATTCCACGTATACAGGCCATAGCACTGAAAAAGGGGAAAATTTTGCTATAAGAATGTAAACAACAAGTTATTTTTTTAATTATGTCTTATAATTACACATGAAATAAAAAGAAAAAATCTGTTCAGATATCTAACTGATTAGGTAGGGAAAAATAAAAATTAAAAAAGAAGAAAATAATCAGAGATTACTTATAACATTTCTTACCTTCACTCAGGACTAGAAAAAAAGAGATTTTGGAGCTTAGCTCCAAGTCCTACTAACTCTCTCTGGAATTTCCCTAAATCAAAGCCCTTATTTGTAGGGGGGTAAAATACTGTGCCCTGCATGGGATGTTCTCTGAAGTACGCTAGTGCCAAATTTCGTTTTATGTACACATTTACAGATGCACAGGAAATACCTCATAAGCAAAAAGAATGTCAGAGATTTGCCTTCCTAGAATCTTACGCTGGAAGTAATTGGCTATTAAGTTTCATTTTCATTCAGTGGAATTTATAGATAGAATTATTCATGAAACAAGTGGTATTTTTACTTTCTTTAAAGGATTCCTTCAGGTTTGACACTAAATGTTTGTTTGTTCGGGGTTTTTTTTCTTCTGTTATAAGTCCACTATCAATAGAGGATTTTATTGGACTGTCACAAGGAAAGAGTATTCTGCATACAGGATTTAGGTGACTTTGTGGATAAAGGGTCTGACCCATAGCATTTTGTAATTTCACTGTAGCCCATAAATCAAATCCTCAACTACTGTAAATTGCTAGAGCTCCATTTAATTTATAGATATATAGGATTTCTTTTTCAAATTTGCATTTGCTCTAAAACAGCAAAAAAAGATCAAACATGCTCCAGCACTGCTTTATCTTCAACATGTTATTTCTAATCAGCACTGGCACCTACCCTCATCTGGTTCTATATTTTTCTCTTCCTTAGGAAAAGCCAAAGAAGTCCGTTGCAGTTGTATAAATTCTTGCTGTAAGTGTATTTTCTTTACTTCACATAGTATTTCAATATGTACTTTATGAGAAAACTAAAGAAAGATTGACAAAATTGTAAACATAATGATTAGCAATAACAGTATTTTTAATAGCAAGTATTCGCCTTCACCTGAATTGATGTTATTAAACTGGAAAAAAACCCATATATCCCATCCTAAAGCACAACACATTAGCTTAGTTACCACAGTTTTTCCTTTCTTAGCACAGATCTAACCATAGCAAATGGCAATTTACCTGCTTTTTCAGCAGATTATCTGATGTTCCTTAAAATTTCATGACAATTTAGATTTTTCTGGCATGCCAGAAAACATATTCAAGTTCCCCTTGAGTTTACAGAAAGAGAACATCAGAAGAAAGTAAACCCATCTTTTCTGTCTTTCGTGATTTCGAATCCTTCATTTTTTCTATCATGCATTAAATTCTGATAACAATAATAAGTTGATGTTCTAAATGCTGTAAAAAGAAAAAGAAAATATACTCCATTCCATCAACCCACATTTCAACCATTTACTCTTATTCTGAGCTCGACAGAAGTCGGAAAGTTAGCCATTTCTCTGAACTGTTCTGTGGATTCTGGCCTTGAAGGGTTTTATTCCCTACTACAGAAACGCATCTCTGCAGCCTTCAACAGCCAAAACGCCACCGCTTAATCTGCCAAATATCTTAACACCCCTTAGCTGGCATTGTAAAGCCACTTCTGTAGAGTCTATGACTGACCACCTCTTTTTTTTAAATATGTGTTACAGATGCAAACAGCTGAGAAATTAATGAATAAAAACATGATAAAAAGCTATGAAATGTGAGGATTTTTTACTGTATTTAAAACACAGAACTGTATCCAACGCTCATGTCCACCACTGATTTCGCATTTCATTACCTGCTGTGACAAGAGACCGAGGTTCCCTGTACCTCTGTACAAAACCCCCTGCCCTGTTTTTCACACAAGAAAATGTATGTATGGCAGCTAAAATCAGGACAACAGAGGTACCACTGCTTCTGGTTAGAGCGAGCATCGACACTAGTCCTTCAGAAATACGCAAACCAACATTTATGTTTCAATCTGAACAGTAAATTGCTAAAAGCATGCCAGTGGGTCTGGTTAGCCACCTTTCTCCTGAAGCAGAAAAATGACTTTATTTGTGTTAACATATTTTCCTGTTTAATTCTGAACGAACAGGAAAATCAGTTCAAGCACATTTTATTTTTATTTTTCTAATAATCCTGAATGTGACATTTCATGTTCTGTCATCCTAATCCACTTAAGCAAGATTATGACCATACCTCTTTAGTCCCTTTAAGACGTAAGCCCTCATGCCAATCGGGGCCCAAGGCACTGCCCAGTACATCAGATGCTGCTACAGGTCTTTCTTTTTCACCACTTCCTGAAGGAAAGAGATGACGAAGATCAGATTTAGCACACATACTTCACTGCCTGCAGAATTGAGAGCAAGGATTCTGCGTTAAGAGAAATATGATCTGGTTGACAAAAGGGAAGACAAAGTCTGTAATGTCCCAAAACCCGTTAATTTGCAGACAAATCAGACTCCAAGCCAGCATTTTTAACACCTTTCAACTTTATGCCTTTCATTACTTCACTCATCTCCGAAACAACCATGCCACTGTCAGGTGCCTGCATGGACCCTTAACAGCCAGCCAGACCCCAACAGCACTGGGGTTCTGGAGACCCACTGCAGACTTAGTTGATTAATATCACTGCTAATACTTAAATCTATGTCCATCTGCTAGTGAATGTGCACTTCCCCCTCCATTGCACAGCAGTGCAAATTCTAACATGCCATGACACACGTGAAGAACACCAGGTGCCATTTTGTCATGTTTAGGCCGAATCTTTTACAATTTATTCTTCTGACCTGAAGTCGGGAACCATGCTCTTCTTTTTGATATTATTTTGGTCATATATATGTCTGCGTAATGTTTGTTCAGGCAGTTCTAGTTAACTGTTGCTATTACGACTGCAGTTTCACTGCATCTGTGGTAACGGTCTGTGAGGTTTCATCTGGTCCTCCAATAGCTGATTACGGGATAGCTCCTTCCTACATAATGCTGACATAATTCAGAAAAACATTAAAATACTACAGAAAATAGAACAAGTTCTTCAGCAGATGGAATACAGGAAATGAAATGGAAACAGGGCACGGATATAAAGAGATGCACATTTTTTTACAGTCATAGGTAACTGTATTACATGCTGTCGTGTGTCTACATAAAATCTGGATGGGTTTTTGTATCGCTTTTTTACTTTTGACTTTTTGAAAGAAGGAATTGCCATTGATGGTAACAGTAAACCTTATTTATGACCTGCTAAATTAACTGATTTTAGGACTATCCTTAATATTAAATACTGCTGCAGTGTTAGGACACCAAGACATCATACCTTCCGTTGTATACTTGGTTCGTTTACATTCAATTGGAGTATCTTGGTTTTCAGCAGTTAGCTTTGGAATGAGAAATTCAGCTGCTCCTGCATCAAAAAAGGTGTTCCCAATTGCTTTGTCTTTGATAGCCCAGATTACTTCACAGCCTTGAATTTCATACCTGTGGACATTTAAACAACAGATAAAGTGACAGACTATAGCTGAAAAGGATCTGACTGTCAGCAAGACAACTAGAAGCCTGACAAGTTTAATTCCAGAAGCTAGAAACAAGGGATCCAAGACTTCTAAACCTACCAAATCCACTCCTGCTTCTAAATATTTACATAAGGAATCCCTTAAAAAACAAAAAATGGAAAAAAAAAAAATCTCTTCAAGTTGACAGGTCATACTTTCTCATCAGCACAACCTTGACTGAACGAGGGCGGAGGGTGAGGGGAGGCAGATCAAATTTACAATAATAGTACTTAGTATTTCTGTCTCCCATGAGAAAAAAAAACATGCATTTTTGCCAGACTGCCCACTGCTAAGAACAGCATTTGGATCTTGTTTGTACTACCTGGAACATGAACTGGTAGAGACATGCAGAGGAGAATTTAGTGAAAGTGAAAGAAGTTACTCCCTGCAACACCAAACAAGACCATACAACTGCATTACACAGGTGGTTCCGCAATCTAGCGGGCTGCAGGACCGCATGGTTCAGTGTCCTACCTGAGACAAAGGCCACGTCAGACGCTACAAAAGCCCTACCAACCTACATTAGGCCAGGTGCAACATAAGCTGCCTCTTTATTCCAGTTACATCTTCTGTCTCCGGAAGTCAGACAAGTTTTATAACTTAAATATTGCCCCTAATAGTCTTAACAGAAATCTCTATTGCTGCCAAATCAGAAAAACGCTGTATATTCTTGACATCTACATGTCAAAGCTTCTTCTGAAGCTTGCTAAATTTTATGTGACAGTAAGCACCACTATACTGCCAAAAAATTTATTTTAATCTTTTTTGCTACTAAATGCTTTAAAAGCTACAATTTGATAAGTCAACCTTCTCCCAAACTCACGCACACTAGATTTAACATTGCATTGTTAAGGCTTTATTTGCATACGTATCTTTAAGACTTAATCATTTACTTACACCAATTCAAGTGCAATCCCACCATTTCCTACCACTACTATTCTCTCAGCTTGAGCCAGATTCTTCTGAAAAGCCTACATTAAGAAAGGAAAAGTAAATTACAACTTAAATCATATGTTCCCTCACATTGATCAATTATATCCTTTTCAGTATTTTCTTTCTCTCTTATTTTGATTTTCTCAGACTAATGATACACATTTATTTATGCCAAGATCTGTTACAGAAGCTAACGAAACCTGTGAAGTTCTGTCACATCAAGGGATGAAGTTATTGATACAGCCTTACAAGTCTCAAACTGAGACAGAAGTTAATTACATTTAAGCCAATTCAACAGAGCTCTTAATAGAATCCAAGAGACTTTTCTCTGTCCTACAGATCGCTAGCACTGTGATAACTCTTAGTCCGGTTTTATCACAACTTGCATAACTTTCACAGTAATTTGCATATCATGAAAAAGACAAAGATACAGAAGTTTAGGAGTTTAAAAATGCCTGATCAGAAATCAGGAAATTAAAAAAATAATTCGTAGTGAATCTGAGAGCCAATTTTATTTGTGCAAAGATCTCCCAGAAAGAAGCAAGTCTCCAAATCACATCTTAGTGGTGAGAAAAATTAAAAAAAAAATAAAAATACAGCCCCGACAGTATTTTTTAGATTTTAGATTTTTAGATATTTTTTAACATAACCACTTCAAGTAATTTCTTTCAAACGAATCAAGAATCATGACTATCAGACCAACTACTGCAATTCCACAAAAATCTGTTCATCCTGCTTCCAGTTTACCTGACTAATTGTGTCAGAGAACCTAAACTGTAGAAGACCAGGAAAAATTGCAGTCCTTTAATCCCGTCAAAGAAAGATACTGAAGTTGTATCAGAGGGGACTAGTGAACACAACCAATCACCAGTGAAAAAGAACCCCAAACAAAAAACCAGAAACAAGTACTTTCAGCCTCGTTCAAGTTCAACATCAGTTTTGACAAATGACAGCCCAGTCTACTGTCTGCCACAGCGGCCAACAGAGGATGCACAGGGAAGACCATCAGAAGATGACAAGCACACGACTATACTATCCTGGAACACTCTCCCACGTTCCAGACACCACTGGTGCCACTCAGGTGGCATCTTTCTCTTCAATTTAAACTAGATAAATTTATTGAGGGCTTGCTTTTTGTGTGTGTTTTTTTCTTCCCTCCTCCTCTATTTCTTTCTTTTTTGAAACTCAAGTAAAGATTTAATAGCCAAAACAAACAACAACATTTTCATAGTTTCACTTCAGTTTGCTTGAAAAAGCAACTCCTTTTTAATTCTCAACATTAAACTTCATCTGATGAATTACAGTTCTTATGTTATGGAGAAGCAGTGTTCACTGTCACCCTGCCTCCTCTAATTCGAAAGACCTATAGCACTGAAACCTCTCTTTCTACTTCCAAGCTGAAGTTTTAGTCAATTAAGTCACTCCTTGTGTGGAAACTTTTCCACTTCTTTGACTATAACTACAACTCTGTTCCGTACAATGAGGAGAAGCTACGGTAGAACTAGAAAATAATGCCTTTCGGTAGCTTTTCCCTGGAAGAAGTAGCCCTTCACACCATGTGCCAGACACCCCTTCTCAGGGAAGTTTCTATTGGTGCCTACTTCCTGTTTGTATTTTCAGACTGGCTTCTGCCTGGAAGGTAAATAAATACCACTTACTCTAGATTATCATGTTAGAAATACTATCTATGAGCGATCTATAAACTTTGTAAGATTAGTGAATAATTAATTTATTTAATGGTATTTTAAGGCTATTTCTCTGCTACTGAAAGTGTTCCCATTTAAGGATATATAGTAACAAACATCATCTTATGTTTCACTATGGAACACTTTTTAGTATTTTGCATCAGAAACAGGAATATACTATACACTTATACAAACATCATCTTATGTTTCACTATGGAACATTTTTTTGTATTTTGCATCAGAAACAGGAATATATTATACACTTAAGTCCAAAACACATTTACCTGTGCACTGTCAGTATCCCGGATTCCTAATACATACGGGTTTCCTTCAAAAATTAATTTTGGTTTTGCTCCAGCACACAGGCAAAGTTTTTCATACATATATTCTCTCCCATCTTCAGTGAAAATTTTCTGTTAAAAAATAAAAGAAAAAACAATTGGAGATATCTAAGAGAACATCAGCATTTTTTTTTCCTTAATGTCACAGGTTTTAATATCTGCAAAATACTGCAACTGGATTCTTAAAGAGCAAGCTTTCATTCACTCATTGTGTGTCACTTATCTGCATTACACTCACTGCAGACCTCCAAGCCCGAGTACACTACATTATATGACCGATAAAACAGAAAGCACACGCGGTGGACTCAAAGGAAGATGAAATATAACGATTACCACTTGGTGGCACTCTGTACTCGCTATCCCTGCTAAAACAAGAGTAGGTTTTCTATGTGACAAATGCCCCCCCCCAGTAACAGATGTAGACCTACGCACACCTATATATTAGCAGCTAAGAATCTGATTCAAAACATTTCAACAACAGTAGAGCTGTGTTAACTTAACTAGGCACAGGCTAGAATACAGTTTAGAAAGACCACAAATTCAGTTCTTTGCTAAAGAAACAGCATAGGCACTAAATAAACTACATTATTCTGCAACAAGCAGTACCGAAATTGTAACATTTTATCTGTTTTCCAAACTAGAAGCTAAACACTTCGCAGTGGTTTTGCACAAAGAGCTTTAAAGGTTTCGGGCAAAAGATCCTCCAAACCCATATACATGGAACATTTGTGTCCACAGCGACATACCTAAACTAAAACACCATTATGGTAATAATACAAGAATATCATTAGATCCAGAATATTAGCAAAATCTAACTGGAGTCGTATCTCTGTGATTTAAAATGAGCAAACTCAGTTTTGGATCTGAATGTGAGTTTCCGATAAATGCTGAAGGGAAAAACAACATGTTGAATGGACACAGACACGAACAAGGATCTGTACGTGCTGTACACTGCTCGTACTTGCAACACGCTTCCTGCTAAAAAGAAACACGAAAAGGTGAAAATGTTGGCTCTTTCAAGAATTCTTTTTTTTTTTGTATCACAAAGTTGTTAATACTTTGGTGTCTGTAGCAACAAGCAATAACTCAGGAATCAGAGAGCTCTCTAAATCAAGGGTTACAGAAATGTTCAGACACCTACATTCATACACAGTATCAGTTTCATTGACTGGTTTCCCTACTGTTCCAATCAGGTATTCAATGCTGTGTCTCTAAGGTGTCAAAGATTTAAAGCTAAAAGATAGTTTCTTAACTGACAAGTGATTTTTGATCTACAATTCTGTCCCTTGTATATATTTCTATTCGAACAACAGTGTAAGTGATAAGTGAAATTAAAGTCAGGAAGTATGTTCTTCTAATTTTGATAACTTAATAACACTTTAATAACCTGAACATTCTGGAACAGGATTTCACACCTAGAATATTCACCTGTTTCTTAAGATTTTAATTTTTTTTCCAAATAATTCAAAAAACCACACAAAAATAAACCAGAAAACATTAGCTTACATGTTCATTGCTGTTCAATTGTTTTACTCCAGACTGTATAACTTTAATATTGGGATAGCGTTTTTCTAACAGAGAACTTGGTTGCTCTTCTACGTCAAATTCCTCAAGTGTTTTGGAGACCTGTAGGAAGAAGAGAAGTATTTAAAAATATGAATCATTTATCGATCTCTTTTTCTAAAGCTTGTAACAAACTGTGTTATGTTCATTTCCAGTAAAGAAGTCACAACATAAAGCCCATATTGTCTCTAAACACATTATTGTTTTACTGCTAAAAGTTCCTTTTTATATACAGGATCTTCTCCTGCCTACTCCTGGTAAAGAGTCAAAGTAGCACAGAGAACTTTAATTCCAAAGCTAGAGATTACGCAAAAATGGAGAACCCTGATGGCTGCTCTAATGTTTTATTCCACAATAGACTCTATTATTAGAGATGTTAGCACTGCTTTTTAACTTGCCTGACACAGTGTTAAGACCCTGTTTTTCTGTTTGTCATGGCTTTGATAAAATAACTCCATGATGTTCTCACAGGCAAGCGCCTTCCTCGGCATTTTGGGAAATAATATTTTAGTCAAACTAGCTTAAAGAATTATGGAAAAGCTTTTGTCTGGAATAAGTATTTTTATTCTATTAAAAAAAAAAACAAAACTGGTGACTTTTTTTTTCAAAAACCTAATGATTCAAAAACCTCTTGTTGCAGGTAGTTGGCCTTTATGTCAGGAAAAGAGCTTACTGTTGTCCTGCTTGTAAGCAGGACACATAGTACAAGTGTTTAGGCAAAACAGATTCAAGATCACCTCAAAGCATTTACTCAGCATCTCAACCCTACTCACTCTGGCATTCCACAGACTGGGCAGGGGAAGAGGCAAACCAGAACCTGGAAAACACTCAAGTGAGTTATGTTGGTTTTGTGTTTCTTCCAGAAGGAAGCAGCTGCATGGGAACCTCCAGGCCTTCTCTTTATAGAATATTCAAAGAACACGGCTAAGAACCAGAAAGCACACCATCCTTCTGCAGGGAAATTAAGATGCTCATGTCCAAAACTTAGATGCTGCTGCCTTCAAATAGTGTTTAGCTATTCCCTTATTTCTTCAGATACTGAAACTTCTGCCGACTTGAATTACAGACTTTACACCTCCGCAGTATACAAATGTCTTTCCTGGGTACTCACGATCCTGCTGTGAGCACTCTCAAGCTCAGAAGATATACTTTAGTTGGGTGTTACTCTACTAGTCTCACATAGCGCTCCCAATCTCTCCATCACGTTCTGTGCATCCCATTAGCCTCGGCGAAAACCCACAGTGCAAAAAGGAGAAGATGCTGACAGCTGATTACAGTCACTAAATGCAAAGAACTGCTCTTATAATCTGTCTATGCTTTATTTTCACCTGTAGTGACCTGAATTAAGCACTCATACACCAGGAAGAATTATGTGTATCTGACAGCCTGGTTTTAAGTGTAGCGTGGTCTTTCTTTACTTGTCATGAGATAATGCCTCGCCTGCTAGGTACCACGTTTCAGAAAGAAAGTTGTGAATATAAATGCCAGGTGGAAGCCCAGCTCTCCTTGTCTTAACTTTCCCTGAGGCGTAAAACCTAACTTCTTACAGGCAGGCAGCTTTGCATCCTGAGCTCTGTGTGATCCAGTCTCCAACTCTTTCCATGCCCTATGGTAGAGTTTAAAGTCCCCTCAGAGTGGGAGAAGGAGCAGCGCTTTCCAAGACCTGAGTACCTCTGCGAAACTAGCTTAACGAACCTACTAGCCAGAAATCTGAATTCATGTATGGATTTTTCTTCCCTTGTTTTTCAAACCAGCAGAAGAGAGGTCATAGAATCACCAGCTGCTGGAGATGTAGATAAAGCTGAAGGCCATTTCACAGAAGACCACCCCTCTTTTTGTAACGTCTCAGAAGTCTGTTTCTACGCAAAATTCAGGCACACTTCTGTATGCAAGACCCACCAGCAAGACTGTTGCTTAAGTAATGTATTCCAAAGATACCATTTCAACACTTAAAATGGAGCACCCATTAACAAAGCAGTGAAATAAAAGCTTCAGTAACTTAGATAATACTTCAACCATGTAACCAGTTTAACCTTTGCTCAAATGCTGTGAACATATTCACCAATTACCAATGATTATGAATCACTACAAAATATCTCGTCAGTCCTACTAACACCACTGCAGTCACACTAATGTGAAAACAAGTTCAAAATCATAAGCATTTTCAGGATTAGGTTCTAAATTATCTGTATATATACAAACTTCTGAAGAGGTCTTACCATAAGAAAAATTAAGTCTCCCTTACCTGTTTGAAATTTGTTATAGCTTTTATAACTGGAGAAGCTGTCACTAAAAAAATGTCTTCTGATGGGAATTCCACGGCCAGCTTGTAAAGAAACAGAGATCATGATGAGCGAATACAGCCATCAACAGATTTTGCCTTTAAGACAATAAAATTATTGGCGAAAACTAGCACGTGTTACTACTACTTTAGTCTTATAGAATCCTATAAGATAAACACTACCTCAAGATTATGGAAGCGTAACGACTGGAACAAGCAGAATTTGGAGACCCAAGATTTTAATTCATTCACACACAAATATATCTCCAAGAACTGCAGCCGTGGTATAAAAGACTCCTCAAAAGACTACTCTCACAGTATTCTAAAGGCCAACTGTAGGAACAGACTATGATCATGTGATTCCTGGAAACACCCAGTTGCTGGACATACTTTTTTTTTTACTGCATAGCAATGACTAATTGTTCGCAGATTTCATTTTGACAGAGGAAACGCTGATTCCTATTGGCTATTTTAAATGTTATTGGATATACGGATTATCATCTTCAGAGTGCTACTAGTCAATACAAGACTTTTATAGGCCCCAAGCCGAAGTGAAGAGTTCCCATTTTAAATGTGCATTGCTCTGCCACAGAAAATAAATCAGCTCTGTCAAGTAAAACCCACTCATCTCTGAGGTACAGACAAAACTCAGGGTTTCTTGTCACCAGCATTCTACAGATCACCAGAACAGTTGTATAAGCCACCAAGAAGAACATTTCACGTCGTACACAAGCAACTAAGCTATAAAGGACCAGCACGTATTCCTGTACCTCAGATAGGAGCAATCTAACATAGTAATCTGAAGGTGAATGTGGTGAAACCTCGTTGCTGGTTTAAGGGAGATTCATGCTGGTATGCTGGTCATACCGTTGGCAAATACAAACGAATTTAATGAGGCTGTGCAAAACAATGTAATCCATACTTTATAGCATGAATCCCTAATGTGTTTTACACTTATTGTAGCTGTATTCTTTGTATTGACAGACAATAGGAAGAAAGGTTGGCAACACACTGTGCTGCAGCACCTGCTTCCAGCTGTATCTAATAAGCCTCAGATAAACTACAGAATGCTATAGAAAGCACACAATATCTTTATTAATGACAGCCTGAATGCACCCTCAGCAAGCTCACAGAGAATACCAATCTGAGTGGTGCAGTCAATTTGTTAAGAGGGAAGGGAGGCCATCCAGAGGGACCCTGACAGGCTTGAGGAGTGGGCCCATGTTAACCTCGCGAAGTTCAACTAGGCCAAGTGCAAGGTCCTGCACCTGGGTCAGGGCAATCAACAGTATCAGCACAGACTGGGGGACAAATGGATTGAGAGCAGCCCTGATGAGAAGGTCTTAGGACACTGGTTGATGAAAAATCAGATAAGAGCTGTCAACAGGCACTTACAGCCCAGAAAGACAATTGTATCCTGAGCTGCATAAAAAGAAGCAAGGCCAGCAGGTCGATGGACACCAGCTGGAGTGTTGCATCCAGCTCTGGTGCCCCCAGCATACAGACATGGACCTCTTAGAGCAGAACCAGAGTACGGCCATGGTCACGGTCAAAGAGCTAGAACACCTCCCCTATGAGGACAGGCTGAGAGAGCTGGGGTTGTTCAGCCTGGAGAAGACAAGGCTCCAGAGAGACCACATAGCAGCCTTTCAGTATGTACAAGGGCCTACAGGAAAGGCAGACTTTTTACCAGGGCCTGTAGTGACAGGACAAGGGACAACAGTTTTAAACTGAAAGACAGTAGAGTTAGATTAGGTGTAAGTAAGAAATTCTTCCCTATGAGGGTGGTGAGACACTGACACAGGTTGCCCAGAGAAGCTGTGGCTGCCCTCTCCCTGGCAGTGTCCAAGGCCAGGCTGGATGGGGCTTTCAGCAACCTGGTCTGGTGGGAGGTGTCCCTGCCCATGGCACGGGGTGGTCAGAACTAGGTGATCTTTAAGGTCCTTTCCAGCCCAAACCATTCTGTGATTCTATGTAATAATCATCAGATGTACACTGCAACTCAAAATTTTAAGACTGACATCATGTACTCTGCATCGCTTACACACGCTCAAATGCTTACCCTGCCCTCTTATTAAGATTTAATGGTTGTTTGAAACTTTCAGTCAGTATTATTAGGGTTATTGCATTTATTTACCTTTTAAAATACCAAAATTAGAGATCTGCCCGATAGAGTATTAGGTTTATTCATGTGTAAGGAAATGTGCACATCACCACAATCCAGAAAGAAAGGCTGCACTACAGCATGAAAGGCAGAAATTACCTAAGACGTGAAACATTTTCTGACGGAGAAAATAAATCTAACTCAAGCTTTTAAGAAGAATTCAGCTTTTAAGACTTTTTTCAGATTATTTCAAAATGTACTTAAGAAGTAACTGTGATTTTTTTTGAAACAGACCTGATGCAATGACTGTTCTCAGACAGCTGAGAAGTCTGAACTACATCACGTAACGTATACCCAAAATGCAACATGATGGGCAAGTTGTTTACTGCCACTATGTTCCCCAGAATCGTACTTACTCAAAACCAGTACTGAGAAAAATGGTGTTCAGTCTTCCTCTTTTATCTAAAGCATGCCCCCAGCTATGGATACACCACACAGAAATCCTTCTAGAACACACAGTGCCACTTTTAATGGACTTGGTGAATTAAAGTGTATGCTAGAAGACCACTAATACTCACTGCTAACTGTGCTTCCTGAAGTACTAAGAGATGATAAAAAGAGGTAAGTCTGTGTCATCACATAACAATCTGATTTGGGTTTTCCAGGAAAAAAAAAATGATGGTGAGAGAAAGCAAAGAGCATAAGAAACGAGGTGTGAATTACAGCAGTAAGTGTCACTCTCTGTGAGCTTTGGCAGAAAACAAAGCCTGAACTCTGTAGCAGTAACACAGCAGAAAGCATTTTCAAGAAAACAATACAGTCCCTTTTATAGCAATCTTAACGATTACAGACATCCAATATATATTGGAAAGAACTGTATTGTGAAACAGGATCATAGGAATTGGATAAAAGTCTAAATTACTTCCAGGAACACATAAAGTCTCTGGGAATAAAAAATATTGACCCAGATCTTTTTCTTGCAAGCACATAAGGATGCATAAGAGTCTTAATTATGTGACTACTTTAATCAGTTTTTAAGTGATTACTCATACCAATATAGCATTTTGGTCTGTAGTACCAGAGCCCACATATTACATTAACCACGAAAACAGGAAAAAAACCCTCAACAATGGTAGAAACAAACCAATTCCATAAAGATGGAGAAGAGTATCAGTATTTTTTTTTGTAATTAAGTCTGCATGTGGTTTACAGTATGTATCACTCCATCACCAGAGAACACATGCACTCGAAACACCATCTTTATACTGCTTTGTAGTTTTAACAGATGAAATATTCTTCACCAAAGTAATATCCACATCATTTCACTCCACATTATAGGTATAAAATTATCTCCAGTTACTGTTACTTTAAAAGCAACAAAACCCTTGAAACCAAGAAACGAACAAATGTGTTTTTCAAGCTCGAGCTCATGGAAAGCTGAAGAGATGGGACAATCTCCACAGGTGTGCAGCCCTAAACATGGATCAAATAAAACCAGAGCAGCATCTTTCCAAAAAGGAAGTCACAGAGTTTTAATCCTCTTTTTATGAGCTAGTCATAAGCCCTTATCAGGTTATATGCAGGGCAGTTTTAACCTCTTGAGAAATATTTCTAGTCAGACGAATACTGTTCTATGACAACATTGCTTCCCTGGGGCTGGTTTTGTTTAATTTGTGGGTTTTTTTTTGTTTCTTTTAAGAGGAACAAAATATTGATAAAAAATA